TTTTTTGTACAATGTTTTAATATGCTGTGAGCCGCCCTGAGTCCCATGGGGAGAAGGGCGGCATATAAATTTAAATATAAATAAATAAATAAATAAACTACCTCTTTACATTACCTGCCTGCAAAACAAAGTATAACGCAGCATCTATGATGCTTATCCACATAATGTCCCCATACCAATTATTTTTTCCAAACAGTTGTAAATTTCCTGGCTAACATGCAACCGTAAACAGTCATCTTTTCCCTGGTCCGCACACTTCTTTCAACTTTCCATCTCAGGGAACCCTTGACACATGACAGTAATGACGCCTGCCCATTATCGTTGCAGGTTGTTGCAGTTGTCAGGCGAGGTGATGTAATTGCCTCAGTTAACAATTTTCTGATTGCCTTGCTTAATGCCCCCCCAGCTTTCCCCGATGCTGTCATTAAGCAGAGCATGGGGTGCCTCAGGTGTAGGAGGCCCTGGGAGGCCTAGCATAGGCCTAGGAATGCTTGCCGGATTCTCCCAAGGTCTCCCTGATCCCTGAGGCACCCTCCCTTGGGATCCCCACATATCTTGGGCATGCTTCCCACCCCACCAGGCACCACAACCTCCTCACACCAATCACACACTTTAGAAAAGCCCTGGAGCTTGCACTGGGTAGAAGTGCAGGCCTTTCTGCCCCACAGCATCCCTGGGCTGTGTGACTTCATCCCATAAGGGGGCACCATTTTCAGAGGAACCACAATTCATACGGGGTTTAAGGGGCCTAGTGAGGTGGGAAGCAGGCCGAGGGCAGGATGGGGGGGGACAGATAGGCAGAGGGGGCAGTTGCAGCACACCTGCAATCATAACTTCAACACTGGGTTGGAAGTAACTTGGGGGGGGTTCTGTCATAACTTCAAACAGTCGTAAGTCAAGGATTACATGTAGACAGTACTTCATCCTGTCAAGCATAAAGCAACATGGCTGACACTGCTACTGGAAATTGTTGGGAAGAAGGCAATCCTGTCACTAGTCACGAAACAATAAACCAATTGTTCCATATAGGATACTGAAATTTTCCCATTTGATTGCAAGCTTAAATACTTCCGTCTCAGAGTTGTGGGTGCTTCATCACTGGAGGCTTTTAATAAAAAAAAATGGACAACCATTTGGTATAAGGACTCCTGACTTGGGCAGGAGGTTCAATTAGAAGACATCCAAGATCCCTTCTAGCCCTATGATTTCATACTCAAAATGGTTCTTCCAAAGTTGGAATATCTTGCACATAATCATATTATTTCTTTAATACCATCCATGCTTACAATGTTTGGAGCAGGTGGCCCTTGACATTTTGGGTGTGCCTTTAGAGATTCTAAAAAAGCCCAAGGATGGGTCTTGGCCCAATATAAATTACCATATTGCTTATGGGATAATATAACTGAAGATATTTTGCTCTGTTCTGAAGGGAAGACCTACTATGCTAATTTCTCTTTCCTTCCTCCCCTAAGTGTGCTAATCTACAGGCAAAGATTGCTGAAGCAGAAGACCGAGGTGAACAGGCACTCAAAGACGCAAGGCAGAAACTGGCTGAACTTGAGGATGGTCTTCAGAAAGCCAAGCAAAATATGGCCAAACAACTCAAGGATTATCAGGAACTACTGAATGTGAAGCTCACCCTAGATGTTGAGATTGCCACCTATAGAAAGCTTCTGGAAGGAGAAGAAAGTCGGTCAGTGATAGCCCATATCTAAGTAGATTTATTTATTTATTTATTTATTACTTTAATTTATACCCCGCCCTTCTCCCGAGGGACTCAGGGTGGCTTACAGGTAAGTAAAAACAGAGCTATACAATAAATATCTAAAAGCCAAATTAAAATATATATTAAATAACCTGTGTTTAGAAAAATTATAAAATCCCTTTAAAATCCCTATAAAATCTCCCCCTAGGCCAATCCCGCTTGATGGAAAAGCCATGTCTTGAGGGCACGGCGGAAGGAGGGGAGATCCGGAATAATCC